TGCTAACGCCAGCTAACGTTAAACTATTCCGACAGGCCATGTTTGATTAGGAGTCAAAGTAGTTCTCCCAGCCCCACCCCACTCCTTATTTTTGACTGTCACCCGCCCCCATGGTACAAATTTTACTCTCTCCCCAGCCTTCCGTTGCCATACAAATCAAGATGGCGGCTGTAATTTTCGTTAAAAAAATGAGTGAGCACTCGCTCTGCGGGCTAGTTCTGGCTTGAAACGATACGGTTCTTGACAGCAGCCATGTTTGTTTCCCCGTCAAAGTTGAGCTCGATGACGTCACGCAATATTTTAGGGCGAGGATTTGATGTGGTTTATAGGAAGTGCTTAGTAGGCTGAAACTGTAGTGAGTATTCTATCTTTGTATTAAATTTTTGTTGGTGCAAAGTAAAAAGAGTGATTTTCTGGACACTACTTCTCCTTGAATGGTAACTGACTGCTGTTCAGTAAAAATCACTTGGTTGATAATGGTTTTGACCAGTTTTAAAGAAGCATTGGAGTATCGTTTGCTTTCTGAAATTTGTTTTGTGAATATGATTTTGATTTAAGCAACTCGACGAGGAATAAATTTCAGTACAAACTTTATTCTTAAGCATGTCTGCAGGAACAAGGAAAAAAGTCAATATAAAAATATTCATACTTATTGCCAAAAGTTAACATGTCCTCATCACAAGGTACTATATGAACAAACAGGATGAAAACTATTCATTTTTATTTCTCAAAAGCCTTTAAATTGATATTTTTGGAATCACAGGAATCAATTAATATTCCCTTTTATATCACCTTCTCCAAATCATGGACTGATCCATCTTTTGAGATGTGACAAAGACTCCATCAGTCACACAAACCACACAGATTATATATTATGGAATCGGTAATCTCGATTTCATGACTTATCATCTGTGTCATTTACATTTCAAACAATGTGATGTATCAAGAAAATTCACAGTATTTCAAGGAAAGTTTGATTGTAATTTATGGTTTAATTATAGTTAGTTAGAATATTACTCTAAATGAGCATGAATGCAAGGGTGCCACACTGAACAATACTTAAGACATGAATTTTTCCTCAATTGAAAGTAAATTCTGTATGACCCCATATTTCCATACATTGTATTGTTTTTTATGTTGATGATGCCTTTAATACAACAATTTGATTGTTTAGACACACACACATATATAATATATAATGTAGATGTCACTGACACATTTTCCTTTAAAAAAATTCCAGTGCTAACAACAGTTTTGATGTGCAGTATGTATATTGAAATGATCTGAAAGTACATTTTTGGAGGTACTTGTTAAATGGACACACTGCCTCACATGTTTGCTTCACACGGCTTTGGTGAGTAGTACTGTAATAGAATGCAATGTACACATATGTGATATCCATATAATGAATGCTCTGTTTGTTTTGTGTTGACAAAGTTAAATACACAACTACAGAGTGCATAGGTCTTGTCATTAAAATATCACACATTTCATTGATACAAAATATTATATAAATGTTATATAAACTGATGTTGATTCTTGTCTCTTCGTTTCCAGATTGGTGCTAAAATATGTAAAAACACTAGTGTAACTGCTTGTAAGCATCATGCTTATAACTTTGCATAAATCAGCTCAGGAAAGTTTTAAAATGGTATATTTGAAGTGAAATATTGATTTGATGCAAAACACAATCAGACATCTTTAGTTTTATGATTTCCTAAGGTTGACATCTATAAACTACTAAGATCCCTATGTTTTAGTCATTGTAACAATGCTTCAAATGGATACCTATAGTGGGTTTTTTTGCTGATGGTTTTTTTTGATAAACATACATTTTAATTTGCAGTCTTAATAACATTTATGAAAAGGAACATTGAATATTGAAAGCACTAATAATATCACCATCTTACTGAAAGGAACGTGGTAGCTTAATTCTGTTTAACCACATGTAATAAATAATGTAATAAGTTATTTAGGAGATGAACAGATCTAAAGCTTGTAGCATACATATGACTTCTAGGTGCTTAGATATTAATACATAATACGATGTGCCACCTGACCTATATAATAACAACTATATTGTAATCCATAATTCCCTTCAAAGTCCACAGTATTAACTAAAAAACTAATGCGTAAGGTAAGTTTTCTTTCAGGTATTCCTCTTGTGATTGTGGAGTTCAATAACATAGTCTAAAATTAATTTTAATAATTTTATTGTCATGGATGTTGCAAGGACATGCAAATATGATTGGAATGTAGATTTTTACCATTAGATGGCTGTTTACTAAGAACATTTTCTCTTGCAGTGTCTTATTTCAATTACAAATCAATGAAAACAACAGGAACATTAATAGCCACAAACAAATTAAAAGTTAACCAGTTTAGAATCATTAAGTTTAAAAGTGTTGAGACATTGAACTTTATTACATGGAAGGGAACAGATCACAGCAATCAAGAGGGAAATACTAAGATTAAACCAAGTTATGCCTTCCAGTGCTTCTCTCCTGGTGTTGAGATAAGAATTTTTATCCAGTTTGGGACTGGCAGTGACGTATTTTTGAAATTGCTTGTGTGCAGTGTGAACAATGACATTCTCCTCATCATACATGTAGCTTTTATAATTCTTCAGATGTCAGATTTTTTAAGATTGGCTTTGGATGTTTATGTTTTTACAAGATATGGCCATAACACCAGGAAAATTCAAACCTAAACAGAACACAACAAAGAATCAGTCATTGTTCTCTATCTAAAATTTAATAAGGATTGAGAAAATCCTTTGTTTGTTTGGTCAGTTCTAGAACCTGGGATTCACGTCAGGATAGAGTTAAGTTTACAAGATTCATTCTGAAATGAGACTACATGAGTGACCTTAGGGTTGGTGTTGACTTAATGTTATATAGCAGGCTTGGATGGATTGGATGTTGCAATTTTATGGCTGCTCGATCAGGTTTAAATCAACATTTGTCAAAAATTCTTTTATATCACAGAATCTGCTCCTGTCTGTGAATAAAACTCCTTCAGCCAAAGACAATGATTTACCAAAAATGAAGCATGGTGTTGGCAATACTGGCAGGTATATGCTCAAATGTACAAACTTAAGTAAAGATGCAACAAGACACTTTGGAATGGATTCTAACCACTTAGTGCATTAGGAATGAAAAAAAAAGAAGGATTTGATATATCCATGGTATACTAGCTGCATTAAGTGTTAACTGTCTACTTGAAAGAAGATAAAAACCAAGATATCAGATGATTATGTATTATTAGTATGGCATACACTGGTAGTGGAAGTAGTGGTGCAGTGTCCAAAAACATTCATTCTGTATGCATGAAAATGTATTTGAGTAATGAAAAAAGTAAGAAAAAATTATGAGATTGTTAAGTTTAATACATTTTTACAGTCTGATAACAATTCCTCAAAAGACTAAAATTTAGTGCTGCATTGTTCTTTCCTAAATTATTCCATTTGCTTATCTTGCTGAATCCAAATTCCTCCTCTAGGTAATGGATCAGTGTCAAATGATGATCCTACAATAACATTAACTAGTACGTTAAGAAAAAATTTTTAAGACACTCTATTAATTGTGATTGTTTTAGTGTAGTAGTAAATGTTTTTGTAAAGGGTAATTTTTATGAACAAATGTGGGCATGCCTATAATCATTTTATATTTCCAAATCCTAGTGATACCTGTTTGAAGGGGAAATTATGTTTCAAAAGTTTGGCTGACATTAACAACTCACCACTTTCATCTTACATAATTTTTGAAGTAGTTTCAGGTAATGATGGATTGTAATGAAATCTGTATTTTGCACTGAAACTTTGTAAATTTCTTCAATTTAACAACATTGATTCCATTTAGTTTTCCATCATCTGTCACTCTATATGAGCATGGAAAGTCAGCTTTAATAATAATTTAATGCATGTGATTACTGCAATATCCATAATGAAATTTACTTAAAAAACAATCCATAGATACGTTCAAGCTTTCTTATGGTTGCCCCCCTTCCCCTCTCTTCTCCCATTAAAAATGATAATATCATTATCTGTTACTCAGGCATTAGTAAACCAATATATCAGATATAAATGTTATTAAATTATCGAGTGGTTTGAAATACTTGAGATCTTCTTATCAGTGTTACTTTGAGACAACAACATTGTTAAAATGGAAGTTAGCAAAATATGTCTTTACAAAGTCTGTTAATATTTACTGGTTACAGTTAGTGATAACATATATGTATTGGAGCAGTAATTATTGTGCGGTTGTTGTAAAGGATTTTTTTGCAAGAATCAATGGTTGTACTGTATTTAGCTCAATACTAAATCTTTGAAAATGTACTGATCACAATTTTACTCAGTAATTTACTCCTCTGACCCCCAGAGTTTGAGCTGCTGCATTTGGTTGGGGAATACGTGCCCAATTTTTATCCCAGGGTGTTTTTTGGGTTTTGGTATCAGGCATTTCATAAAGCAAGTCCTGCATTAGCAATCTCTTAATCATTTTATTACAGTGTATTCTGATTACATATGCGCCAGCAACCGCATTGTATTTCAGTAAGTTTTAGGCTATCACTATATATGAAGGGTTTTAGAACCAATGTACTTATTTTGTTAACTCTCATTCATGACCTATAAACTGTGTAACTTTTGATCGATATACTAAAATAAAGTTTTTTTTTTTATATTTTAACCTCAATAAAGTTTGAATTGTGTTGTTCCAGCAGATATTGATATTGACTGCAACTGGAAAATTCGTCGCATATATCGCTAATCTCAACTAACTCCTTGCCCTTGGTTTTCATTCTTGCTCTGTGTATTAGGATAAATGTATACACCATTCACAGCTTGACTGTCATGGGGTGACTTCAATATTTCCTAAAACAACACATGTCAATATTCCTTTGCTTTGAGAAACTTGGAAGAGAAGTAGGTCTCAAATTTTGCAACCTGGTTTAGATGGGTTAATACTTGGTAAAGAATTGTGAATATTTTATTAACTTACCGTTGTGGTGCCAATAAATTTCGTTTCAGAGATAGAGCTGTTTATCCATGTGATGCTCTTGCAATGTATCCGCATTTTATGTTTACCATCAGTTGCAGGCGAAGCAAATACACGAGTAACTATTTTCCCTCCTGCAGTATTCTGCCATATTGGAAAGTTCAATTTCGTAACCATGGTTATGGACACACCTCCGTCACACCTCTTTATTGCTCCAATCAGAGCTTGCGTGTAGCTTTCCCAGAATGCCCTAGCGATCGTAAAGCTCTAAGTTCGTGATTAACGAATTCTTCACTTCAATTTTTTCCATGTGAAACGTAAACGTTTTGTACTTCTCCTACCAGTAGCCGTGAAAGTTCTATTTTGTATTGGAGATCTTGAGCTAGCCTTTCGTAGGGTGGAGTTTTTCTTGCAAGTCTTTACGACCGACTTTAACTCATTCAGTAGAGGTAAGTAGAAAGAAGTTCGCAGCTTGGTCAGCGAGGAGTTGTATGAAAATTATCCCTGTCGTTGCTTTGGTCAGTTAGCCTTTCTCGCCTTTTTTTTTTTTTTTAATTTATTTTTTTTTATTGTTACTGACGCTTATTGATAAAGACTGTTAACGACGATGGCAAAATTCTTATTTAAATGATTTTCCTTTGACACTAATTTGTATGTTAATTCTTGGAACTGTCTTTTAGTAATCGTTCCATGTTTTCGCTGTAGGGCTTCCAACAATTCAATAAGGAACAAAGTTATTGTGGAAACTGAGATAGCTGGTTTGAGGGGTGCTGTTGGGTAGTACAATGTAATACAAACGCTACCCTACAAGTCAGTGGCACCGATGCATAAATCAGCCTATGTGGTGGAATGTCCACCACAGTTAGAAAGATTAACTTTAATTCGCATTACTATTATGGCAAGGAAGTCTTGAGGTAAATACCAGCACTGATTTGGTTCTTACTTGTTCAGTAATTTTCCATGCAGACCGTTTCCACTGAAACGATCATAACCCATGTATTTTTGTTTTGAAAGGTATCAAACTTAGAATTAAAAGGGTTCAGTCCAAGTGCAATATAATGAATCACTTGCTAACTTTGCTTGCTCAAGTTCTACTGAGGAATATTGGCCATCAGTTATTTTTGTAAGGGCCTCAGGAAAATGTTCTCTTGTATGGCCCTCAGGCTTAGTAAGAAGTTATTATTTGCAGTTATAGCTGAATTCATCTGTTACAATGACATTAATTTTATAAAATGAATGAGAGACAGTTGATTTCATTTTCATATTTTTAGTTAAAAGTTATGGTGACGTAGTGGACATGGCCACCATGTTCACTGCCCTGGCCACTGCCACTATGCTGTCATTTGTGGCTCTAATTAAACAACCAATGTAATTTCACAGTCGTTAACTAACCAATCTCTGTTGGACAGTAAGAAACACACTTAGTATGTCTTAAATGAAAACATCATACCATGGAAAGTGCTTGAACAATTTTCATCCACTTGTAGCTTTGATTAAAGAACTCATTAGTTCACTGTGCTCACTCTCATTCTCATTTATTTAAATTTTGATGCAATAGAAGGAATTTGTCTATACTTTCTATGTTATAATGTCTATTTGTTACAAATTGAAAAATATTTCTTGGGCCCCATATTGTTTCTAAAATGTAATTTAGTTTGCATGAGCATGACAAATTTAAGATTTTCTTAATATTGTGAAAAATGACATTTAAAGCAAATGTTAGCCAAGTTTGTTGTAATGTCAGCTGTTGTTAGGTTACAACTTACTTTACTTTACTATTTCATTTCTTCCACCCCTTCTTTTTTTATTATTTTTCTTGTCCACATCTATTTTATGAGAAAAGAATACTTGGTTTGAACAAGTTTATTAAAAATACTGCACAAATTCTATAATTGTATTAGTGAGAAAAGGTTTTGTTGAAGTGACAACACTGCACCAAGTGATGGTAACATTGCAAAATTATGAACATCTGCTTTATTGAGCCTAAGAGTTTAACAGGAAAATTGTACTTCAGGAAGGTATGGTGTCACTTTTGCAACTTGGTACAGAGGGGAGAGACTATTCACTGTTTACAGGTGCAACATTTTGTGGAATCATAGCATTATAGAAGAAAAGAAAATATTACTTTACAGTTGACATTTACCCAAATCACTGCCTGCGTGGGGTGGTCCTTCAGGTAGATCTTCTTCATGTTTTGTATAAACAGTAAACATTATCTAATAATTGTCAATTTGAAAAAAAGGTATTCTGTTTAAATTAGTGGTAAAGGAAAACAGTGAGCTAACCTAACACAACTTCACTACACAGAGTTTAACAGTGAAAATTGTGTTTCAAGGAGGCTGTGATGTCACTTTTCCAATGTCTTAAAGAGAGGATAGACTTACTGGTAATTGTTTACAGATGCATGACATTTTGTGGAATCATAGCATTATGGAAGAAAAGAATATATAATTTTCCAGTTGGCACTTAACCAAATCTCCAGTTGAAGGAGGTGGTCTTTTGGGTACATGCAGATCTTCACCATCTGTGGTATCAACAGTAAACTCATGTAGTTGTCAGTGTTTAAAAAAAGGTATTTTATTGAAACATCAAGGAACAGATGTGTTGTGAAAAACATTTTGTCTAAACTGATCATGTAAATTATGTTTTTGTCTTGTGGTTGCAGAGTAATTATTTATTGAATAGTATATTATTTATGATGCATATGTAATTTTACAAACATTTAAATCTTAATCTAGTTTTACAGTTGTGGTTTAAGTAAGTTAACATTCTGTTGTAAATCTAGCACTCGCCTTCTTGGTTTAAATGTAGACCATATTTGAGAATAAATTGAAATGTTCCTACTTTAATTGTGTAAACGAGTTTGTTAGTAACCTGTGGATATAAAAATCTTAATAAAGTAATTATAAGTATTGTGGTTAAGTGCCTTGTCAAAGATTATTCAAGAGTATGTGTGAGTATTCATTTGAAATGGAAGTTTTAAGACTTGAATTAATCTTTCAAGAATTATTTGTTGCAAAGTAAATTGATAAATGTTAAAAAAAAATATCCTCACCGGGCATTTCTTTTTCTCTTGACCTCTGAAATAACAAATGCCATAATTTCACAATTGTTTATTTCAATTTTATTACATAACTATCCAACAATGGAGGCCAAATAACAACACAAATTGATCCCCTTGCTATTATTATGTCTTGTATCAATATGCTTTCTTTTTAGAAAGTGTAACATAACATTCCTTGACCTTTTCTGATGTCCATAACTTTTAGTCTGACATTAACAGTAATTGAGTGTAAGAAATTGAAATTTGTCTGTTTTCTTCCAAGCTGGGAAAGGAAAGATATCAAAGTTGTTTCATAATGTGACAATATTCACAAAGGTGACTTACTTAACTTTGTTTTATTTGGCAAGGATTAGTAAGTGCTAGTTACATGGAAGTCTTTACACCTTAATATCAGTATGCATATTCTCCATACTGTTCTCCATACATTTCTAAAGAGGCTGACAAGGAGAATTTGTTTAACAGTCAAGAGCTGCTCTAGTTGGTGATCATCTGTTCTATTCTCATGACTTTCATGTTTGACTCAGGAGTGATCATTATAGTAAGGAGAAGTTAGATGCTAGTCATTCTTAGGGGCCAAAGGATTAATGAGGGGAGGCTTCCTGCACAAAGGTACACTGCTCTATTGTTTTATCCTGCTATGTCTTACTCATAAATGAAAGAAAATAAATCAATCCTTATCATGAACAATTCATAACACTTTTATGCCAACTATCTCATGAGGTGTAAGGCAGTCTTTTCATCGCCAGATTGTTGGAAATATGACAATCAATTTAAATGAAATAATCTTGGAAGTAACTCTCCTTAAAATTAAGGCTTTACCTCCCACAGCACTTGTTTTATTTTATTGAAAGAAATGAAAAAAGGTAACATTGATATATGTTACCTTTCATCTGCTGTCAGAAAGTCTCTGGCTCTAAGAACGGTAATCAGGTGGTACTCAGGCTCTGTCAGGCTCCAAATTTTTGTACACTAGTAGTTCTGATTCTCCAAAATCTTGAGGGTTATTCCAGTCCACAGAAACAAACAATGCTTGCTCTGTTTGAGCTTCTTGATATTGGCAATAGTTAAGCTATGGCTTTAAAAAGACAACTTGACAATGATTTTTGGTTGAGCATTAAAACAATCTTAAGCATATTCTCAGCACTACTAAAGAAAAAAAACTGTAAGGTTGTCAGTTGAGTGATCAGTTAGCCCTCTGATCCTGGGAGTGAAAAGGCCACACCATGATTTAATGTAGTTAGCTATTAAAGGAGACCAGCTGAGACAAATTTGAACATGGTAATCTTTTTCTCGTCATGGACAGCACAATTTACAATTTTGATTGAGCCTTAATTAATCTAATATCAATAAGGTTTAACAGCAAGACCTTTGTTTTGGTTTTGGTTTGAAAATGTTAAATGAAAAATAGAAACAAAAACAAAAATACACACTTTGAGGTTGGAGAGTATCACAGTCCCAATTAATTTATTACTTTGAGTCTTTTTGTGTATTTTATTCTTAGTAATCACAGTAAGGGCAAAAAAGTACCCAATGCCAAAATTTCGACTCAGCAGAAGACAATTCTTGAACAGATTAGGTTACTTTCTGCAGCAAAGTGCAGCAGCAAACACAGTTACTGCTGTAGATATTTCACCTCTAATTCTTAAAGGGCTGGCAGAAGAATAAAATCTATGTTTGTTGAGTTCTAGACATCTCTTTTCAGGTTACACTCTGAGCATCCCTTTGAATAGAGATCCTTGGGTCTAACACAAATATTACAGCAGATCACACTGCCATAGTGCTCTAACAGCTGATATGCAGTTGATCTCTGGTGACACTTTCACACCTTTATTACACTGTGATCAGCTGTCATCACAGACATATCTGACTTGCCCATCCATTTTTGCTGATCATTTGACTTTTTTTCTTTTTGTCTTTTTAATTCGTGCACGAACATAAAAAAAAATATCTGAAGACGAATTTTTTCCTGAAGAATTCATTTCAAGTAGCCACCACATATGATCACTATTTTACCAAGAGAAAAAACCTTTGCCAATCAGGAGTATTATGTTCGCTCAATTAGAAATAAATTAACAAACCAAACCTCACGTGCCTTCGATATTACTCTTTCATCTAGATTTCAAACAATTTGCCCATAAAGTAATTTGTCAGGGATATGATTAATAAGAGCAGTGCTCAGAAAAAGAATTGTAGGGATACCCTTTCTTGAAAACACTTTTTGATTATTTTGGTTTTTGTTTTTCTTCATCCAATCCAAAGCACTTCAGGGAATTAAACTTCAAACGTCTAACAACTCTTCACCAAAGTGGAGGTGGCTAGTGGTTGATATTTATTCCTGCAACAATTACAATATGTTCGTGGGCAAATCCAGTGCAAGTTGCTCGGAGGTAGATAGCAAAGGCTGTACGGCATTTGAGTAGCCAATCAGAGGGTGCATACGGTAAATATCCTCCACTAGCCATCGACACCCACCTGAAAAGTTGTTAATTATTCAACGTTTATTAGCACCGAACGTCCTTTTGGGGAACATATATGGCCAACTGTTAAGAAGTCTTTTGGTTTGGGACTATCTGAACTACCAAACAACGTAAACTGCAACTGTAAACTCACACTTGTTTAATGGCTTGGATTGTAATACAACTTGTTAGGCTTAACTTGACAACTCAACTGTTCAGCTGATAACTGCTCCACTGCCTACGAGAATGTTGCTCACGTTCTTTTAAGGTGACCAAGCTAGAACTGACAGGAGATTGGTAGTCGGTCATCAAACTATCACCCGTTATTAATTTATGCTTACGTAGTGCCTTGCACAGTAGGTTGTAACCAAACTGCGCTTGTCCAAAGAGATGATCAGCATAAAGACCTAACATCAAATAAACATCGTCAAAATCTTTTTCATGTTAAAAGGTTCGCTGTCCTTCGCGGGTCTCCAGGCCAAAATAAACGAACGTGAGCAATATAAAAATTACTAGGTACAACTTTAAGGAAATTCATGTAACTGTAACATTGATATGTTTACAGAAACACTGTTTAAAGGTAGTTGCGTGACAATAATTTACAACAAGAGTAAACAGTTCGTATTTGGAGAAGGGCCAACTGATGGTAATGCCTACTTTCCATGAATTAACAGGAAACTAGCAAGTGATTCCAGTCACACTGATGGAATAACATTTTACAAGCTGTAAAACAATAGCCACAATTATTATTAGCTGTAAACATTGGTTTGGCATGGCTTGGGTTAAAGTAGCAAAAAAAAAACACAAAACTTCAGATCATGGTACTAAATCAGTGATTATAAAAATTCCAGGAAGAAATAGCCTGTGAAAGACTGGTATTAGGTCAAATGAGTGAATATCAAAAATAATGACTCGGCTTCTTAATTAAAAGTACCTCCAAAAAGGGAAGATTGTACTTTAAAAACAAATCAGTTC